ACTTCTCCTTCTTGAATGAACACTATAAGGACCACAAATGCACTCTTAAAGCTCAAAATTCATTCACATATGGTATTAGGGGTTTCAGAGACGTTTGAAGGTGAAGGAGGCTGTTTAGGGTGAGGCTCAAATGAGTTAAGGGTGTTTATATATGTCTCAAGTCCACAATTTAGGGTTTGCACATTCAGGACGTACGCCCAGCGTACGTGCTGCCCCTCCGCGATCCTTCTTGCCAAGTACACTAAGCGTACTCATAAGTAATCCCAGCATACTTAAGGGCTTCTTATGACATATTTGAAATACTTCAAGGGTTACAAGGTAGTATCTGATTTGGAGTGTTACAATAAGGAAGCTATTGGGTGGATTATAGCCGACATCAAATGGCTAAGTCCTTCACTTTGCATGCACAAAATCCTTATGGAAGAAGATTACAAGCCCTCCCGAGAAGCTCAAAGGCATTTGAGCCCTCCAGATGGAGGTTGTGAAGAAAGAGATTCTGAAATTGTTGAATGCGGGGATGATTTATCCTATATCGGATAGCGAGTGGGTAAGGCCGGTCCAAGTTGTACCAAAGAAGACAGGTATTACCATTACAAAGAATGACCAATGTGAATTAGTCCCCATTTCCCACTTGCAAAACGGGTGGAGAGTTTGCATAGATTACAGAAGACTCAATTCCTCAACCCGGAAAGACCATTTCCCACTTCCCTTCATTGATCAAATGTTGGAAAGGTTAGCGGAAAAAACACATTATTGTTGCTTGGATGGGTATTCCGGTTTTCACCAAATACCCGTTGCACCTGAGGATCAAGAAAAAACCACTTTCACATGTCCCTTCGGAACATTTGCATATAGGCGGATGCCTTTTGGACTTTGCAATGCTCCCGCCACCTTTCAAAGGTGCATGGTAAGTATTTTTCGGAGTATGTTGAGGAAATCATTGAAGTGTTTATGGACGATTTCACTCTATATGGTAATTCTTTTCATGAATGTTTGGGTAATTTAAAAAAGATTTTGCAAATATGTATCGAGACCAGCCGAGTTTTGAATTATGAAAAGTGTCATTTTATGGTTGATAAAGGTCTCATACTTGGTCATATTGTGTCTTATAAGGTTCTAGAGGTAGACAAAGCAAAAATAGATGTCATTAAGTCTTTACCCTACCCCACTTGTGTTCGTGAGGTACGCTTGTTTCTTGGTCATCCAGGTTTTTATAGAAGATTCATCAAAGATTTTTCCAAGATATCTCGTCCCATGTGTGAGCTCCTTTAAAAAGATGCAGAATTCAAATTTTCCAAGGAGTGCAAGCAAGCTTTTGATCAGTTGAAGGAGTTGTTAATCTAAGCATCAATACTTCAATCACCGGATTGGAGTTTGCCCTTTGAAATCATGTGTGATGCTAGCAATCATGCAGTTGGTGCAGTATTGCGGCAAAGAAAAGACCGAGTTCCTCATGTCATTTATTATGCCTCGAAGACACTTGATAGTGCACAAGCCAACTACTCGACAACTGAGAAAGAACTGCTATCTATTGTCTTTGCTTTAGAAAAACTCCGTCAATATTTTCTAGCTTCTAAAGTGGTTGTTTATTCTGATCATGTAGCTATTAGATACCTACTTGCAAAGAAGGATTCGAAGCATAGACTCATTCGATTGGTTTTACTCTTACAAGAGTTCGATATTGAAATCAAGGACAAGAGTGGAAAGTCAAACCTTGTGGCTAATCATCTTAGCAGGATTGTTTCTCCCGGTGACTCAACTCTCATTCATGATGCATTTCCCGATGAAAATCTATTTTCAGCAAAAGTTGCTCCATGATATGTCGATATTGTGAACTACATCGTCACAAATCAATTTCCACCAGATTTGACTCGATGGCAAAAAGATAAAATCAAGAAAGAAGCCAATAGGTACGTATGGGATGAGCCATATTTGTGGAAATATTGTGCTGACAAAATGATTAGACGATGTGTGATCAACATGAGGTATCTTCTATTTTAACATTTTGTTACTCTTATGCTTGTGGAGGGAATTTTGGTCCTCAAAGAACTGCAAGAAAAGTATTAGAGAGTGGATTTTACTGGCCAAGTATTTTCCATGACTCTTATGTTTTTTGTGCAAGCTATGATAAATATCAAAGGATGGGTTCTTTAAGCTCAAAGAATCAAATGCCCCTTAATCCCATTTTAGTTTGTGAAATTTTCGATGTTTGGGGCATTGATTTCATGGGACCTTTTCCATCATCTTCGGATTTTATTTACATTCTTTTGGCTGTGGATTATGTTTCTAAGTGGGTGGAAGTAAAAGCTACCCATACTAACGATTCAAAAGTTGTGATAGATTTTTTGAAGGCTAACATCTTTTCTAGATTTAGTACTCCAAAGGCCTTAATCAGTGATCGTGGTACACATTTTTGCAATCGTATGCTTGGGAGTGTTTTGAAGAAGTATGGTGTTACTCATAAAGTTTCCACAGCATACCACCCACAAACAAACGGACAAGCCGAAATGAGCAATCGACAAATCAAGGGTATTTTGGAGAAAATTGTTAATACAACAAGGAAAGATTGGAGTACTCGTCTTGATGATGCTTTGTGGGCATACCGCACTGCATTCAAAACTCCAATAGGGATGTCTCCATACCGTATTGTTTTTGGGAAGCCATGTCGATTACCTGTTGAGTTGGAGCATAGAGCCTATTGGGCAGTCAAGTAATTCAATATGGATTTTAAATGAATCGGGAATTAAGAGGAAGCTTGACATACAAGTGCTTGAGTAGATCCGCAATGAAGCATATGAGAATGAAGTTCTTTACAAAGAAAGGACAAAAGCATACCATGACAAGATGATTTCACACAAGGCATTTCAAAAAGGTCAAAAGGTATTACTTTACCATTCTCGTTTCAAATTAATTTATGGTAATTAAGGTCCCGTTGGGTGGGACCATTTGTTGTCACTAATGTTTTTGAGCATGGTGCAATAGAAATCACAAGTGAGAAAACTGGGAAGATCTTTAAGGTGAACGGTCATCGTTTAAAGCCTTATTATAAAGGATTTGAAGTAAAAAACGAGGAAATGGAGGAAGTAGCGGATCCAAAGTACCAAGATTGACAAATAATTGGGGTCCATGTCGATCCACCGACTTTAAACAAGGGCAGCTACCCGAGAGGCAACTCGTGGGTATTTTGGTCATTTTTGTAAAATTTTCGTATAGACATTTTCGTTCAAGTTTTTGTGTGCCAAGGTTCTTAGAATAATTAAGGGAGTCTAAAAATAATTTTTTTTGAAAATTGGAAGTGAGCGGATACCAAAATAAGAAAAATCACGGTGCGTTTCTCAGCACATTACACGGGCCGTGTAATGCATACCTTGGCAAAACACGGTCGTGTAATGGGACATGATTTCAGAAATGTTGGTGTTACACGGCCGTGTAATGATACCTTTGCCATTACACGGGCCGTGTATCGGGACCTATGTGTAAAAAAAAAGGAGATTTTTTTTTTCAGAATTCGCAGCTCATTCATTCAGTCGTGACCCTCTTTTCTCTCGTTCTCTTTCATCGAACACACACACAAACAATTCAAATCATCGATTTTCCATGGATTTAAGCATTCAAGGTATGATTTTTCACTCTCCTTTCTTCTTCCTTACACTCAAGAAGCTTCAAAACACCATTTTAATGGTGATTTTCGGATTTTTGGAAGAACCCTAGAAATTTGGGTCCGAAAATTTTGTTCTAATTTCTTCAAATTGCTTGTAGAATAAGCTTGGGGAAGCATTGTGGAAGAGATTACAAGTGATTTCAAGCACCAATTTCGTGTTTAAAGCTCCAAATCGGGTATTCTCTTTCCAATTCCTTGACTTTGCATTGTTAGTCAAAAAAAACTTCAATCTTTGTGCTTAAACTGTCAAATTGAGTGTTAATTATGTGTTGGTCCTTTGAAGTGGTTGTACATTGTGCTTAAGAGTCAAATTTTTGTGCTTAAATTTCGTTTCTCTCGTGGCTTCATCATCTCGTGGGGGTGGTAAAAAGGGTAATTCCAAGCGTTCTAGAGTCGTTGATTCTAGAGTTAGTCAACGTGACCCACACCCTCCATGCCAAAATTCAGTTGAATTGGAATTCTTAGACTCTCAACAAGAAGCTAGGTATCATAATTTTCTTGGTCGTAGGCGCGCAACACAGAAATTCGCGGACATGCCCACTCTTAAGTCCCACCATATACATGACCAAGTCTGTGTTTTATTCAGAAATATTGGGTGGGAAGGGTTGTTGTCATTGCATCATGTGGGTTATGTCCAACCAACTCTTGAATTTCTGTCATCTGTTTCTTTCAATCATCGAACTGGGTATCTCTCCTTCCGTGCTTTTAGTTGTAGTTATCAGTTGCATAAAAATCAGTTATGTAAACTCATTGTTGCTCCAATTGTTAACACTTACAGCCCATTTCACATATTTAATTTTCCATTTCAAGAGGATGCTAAAGCTTTTTCAGGGAGAATTTCAGGATTTAGATATTTTCCAAGCACTGCCAAACCATCAAGTATCATTCATCTTGTTCTTAAGGCCACGCATCGCATCCTTGCCTCTATTGTATTTCCACAAAATGAGATAAGCAAGGCTGGCCAAAAAGAATTTGAGCTTATGTGGTGTATGATCCACAACCCAAATCAACTTCCTGATTTTGGATTATGGATCACTTTCAAATTGTTGAAAATATCCCGCAGCACCAGTGGCAAATTACTTTACTGGGGTGTGATCACAATTATCTTCAAACACCCAGCTCTTGCCATTCGCTTTCCACTCGGTCTAGATGTCATTGAACGAGAAACTCGCCTCACAAAAAACATCTTACAAAATATGCATTTGTTCCACATAGATGATGTAACACATAACGTTTGTTGGGTTGTTGATAGCCACAACTACCTTCGTATTGATCATCATAATTCTCAGCTTCTTCATTTATCCAATCCTATACACAACACTGTTTGGCACCATACCTTATGTCCAATTTAGGTGTCCTGATGCCCGAGCCTGATTCGGATTCTGATGAGGATGAGCCCATACCTGATGCTGTTGCACCAGTACAGAAAGAGCCTGTCACACATCCCTATTATGACATGTATATGCAAGAATTCCGTAGATTGCATGAAGACAATAAGCGTTTGCATCGTGACTATTCTGAACTTTATGACTGTGTTTGTGAGATTAATACTGAGTTTGTGGAGTTTAGAGAAGAGTTTTATACCTTTAGAGACAATCATCAAGCACGCAACCAACATGTGGATTCCCTTATGACCGACATGCATAGGGTACTTTGTTTAGGTGTTCAGCCCACACCACCACCTTATTACCCTCAATATCCACACTATCCTCCAACATACAACCCACGATTTTCACATCAATATCTTACACCATTTACACCTCAAGATCCTCAGTAATTTGTCCCATTCTCTTCCCAAGCATCGAGAACGATGCATATTTTTAAGCTTGGGGAGGGGTGTATTATGCATATTCATTCATTCCATTAAAAAAAATTTGGATTTATGTAGCTTTTTTCAACATTTGTCTTTATGCATTTTAAGGTCAAATCAAAATTTCCAAAGGATAGTTGTTAAAGTTGTTTATTATTTTCATTCTAGTTTTCTAGTTGTAAATATTAGAAGTTTATTGTTATTTTAAACCAATTTTTTTCCAAAGTCAAAACCGCGAAGTCATCCAAATGGCAGATTTCAAAGTCAAACTTCTACAAATGTTTACCGTTTATAAAAGAGTACTTCAAAAGTCAATTTATCAAGTTTTATGTTCAAGTTTTATGTTTATATAAAAAAAAGTTTTAGTTTATGTTTGTTTTTCATTTCTATTGTAATATTTAAGTTGAGTCTTTATGCATATTCATGCTGCTTTCTAGTAAAAAAAATAGAGAGAGAGAGAACCGAACCAAGCTTTTCCATACTTATCATGATGATATTTTCACAGGAAATTCGTTTGTGTTTGATTTTGTTGGCTTGTTTAGCATTAGAAGTTTATTTTGAGGCCAACAATTATGTTATACGGTTCTATTTTGCTTGTTTTATATATTTGTTGTTGTATATACTTCTTTTGTGTTCTTGATATGGTCATGGATTTATCTCCTATTATGGATTGCCAAGAGTTGACATGATTTTGGAAGAAGATGTGAAGATTGTGCATCCGCAAGCTATTGAAGAGCATGGAGAGAAAACTAAGAAGAATGGGATATGCCTTACCGACGCCTGAGTGCCCTCCACCTTAAATAATGATTGTAGATTATTTGATAGGAGTGAGTACACACATCTTGTGAAATGAATGCATACACGAGTTGAGTGCTTCAGTGAGCACACCATATAGATTGAGATGCACCTACCTTGTCAGTAAAAGTTACTAGGAGATGCCTTATACTATGGTTCTATGCAATTAAACCAAGTGGTTGGCAAATCTTTGTGTTCCAAGCCTTCTGTTGTCCTGATTTGAAATGCAGTACATTCGTATGTGTTTGGGGTATCGGTTGACAACTCTTTAATCATGATTATGTTGTCAGGATAAATAACTTGAGGCATTCTTTCTTTTTATTTCTATGTTTGCATTTCTATATTTACATTTGCATTCATCTCTTCCAAGGTTAACTCTTGTTTTGTTTTCTTAAGGACAAGAAAAGGTTCAAGCTTGGGGAGATTTGTTAGGTGCATAAATTGCACCTTTTCATAGGTTAATTTCATGTTTATTTATGGCATTGCATTGCATTTTTAGTGTAATTTTCATACATTTTGCATTTAGGGACATGATCAAGGATCTATCGATATTTCACTATTTTTTGTGGATGTTTCAGGGTGATATGAAGATTGGAGCATGCTTAGGATGGTCAAGGGAAGCACTCGGTGAAATTTCGGAACTTTCGGAGCTATATTGAATAAATGAAGAAAATCAGAAAATGACTTTTATGTACTGCATTACATTGCCCGTGCTTTGGCAAGGCATACGTTATGCGGCCGTGCTTTGGAAGCATTTCTGCACATTACGGTCATTACACGGCCGTGTAATGAGAAGGCATACGTTACACGGGCCGTGTAACGTGATCTGATTGGATTTTGAATTTTTAACTTCCGATTTATCTATGGTTCATGGTACATTCAAACATAACTTCAATTTGGAACATCAAGGGGGGCGATTTTGAGAGATCATATCATCATCTAGCATCTTGGAAACACTTTAATTTGCATTTTGTAACTTAATTTGATGATCAAACTTGTTGAATTTGTAGTTTAACTTAGACATGTGTGGCTGATTTCTTAATCATTTCCGATTCCAGATTTCTAAGTGTTGTTGTTAGATTGTAATTTGCACTTGACTTAATGTTTATCATCTAGTAATCTTTGATTTGATCTTAATTATGTGTTTGATTGGTTCTCTTTTTCACTTGATCAATGAATTAGGGTTCTTATCAATCTAGTTAATCAAATTGTAAAATTCTTATATTTTTTAATGATTTGATGTTAGTAACTGCACTTGATTGGTTGTAAATAGATCAAAATTAGTGTAATTAAAGATTAGATGTTCATATTCCCGAACTGATGAGGAATGTTGGACATTGTTAGTAATTGTTGCAAGAACTTAATGTCATTTAATGATTTGATGCAAGAGCTTATTTGAATTGCATCAATTAAATGAAGTTTTATTTGAAGAATATGTTTTGAATGAAACACTTTTGTCAACTTGGATATTAGAGTTTACTAATATCTAATTTACCAACCTAGATTGAACATGAATCACATTCATATTACACTTTACAACATAACACATGTATAGGAATCAGAATCGGAAATGTATTTCTTTTATTGAATTTTATTACTAATCTTGTTTTGTTTATAAAGTTTAATTTGAATTCAAACATAAACCCCCACTTTAACATTGATTGTATGATGTGTGAAAATTTGGCTAAATAAAAAGTCTCGTATTCTTGTGGACCTATCCTGCTTACTCTATACTATCCTTAGTGTATGTAGTAGCAGTGATTTGCATTTTATTGTTATTACTTTATCCCATTATTTGTTGGTTTGACCACCAAACAGTACCTTATGGCCCTTTTATTTTTGTAATTTTCATTTTAGTCCCTAGAGTAGCACACGGGGCGTACCACTTGGCACGCTTAGCGTACTAGCTGAGAAGCCAGTACGCGGGGCGTACTACTTGGTATGCTTACCGTACTGAGTTGATGGTGAGTTGGGACCCCGGTCTCGTACGCTGGGCGTACGCAGACTTTAATGAAACCCTAGCTAGGGGTTTGCATCCTATATCAACATCTTTGTTCATTAGGGCGGGCCTCCTTACCAGCCTCTAAAGCCTCAAAACCCTATAAACGAGTCTTAGCCTCCAATGTTGAGTGTTTGAGCCCTTGTAGAAAAATTCATGTTCATTTTGTGCATTTTAAAGGAGTTGGAGAAGATTGACGTTGCTTAGCTTGGAGAGAAGGTCTTGGATCCAGAATCACCACCCTTTTTGCAATGCTTTTGATGTATCAAGTTCTCATTTTGACTTCAAGTTGTTTACATTTCTTTTTGGGATGATTTGTCATGCTTTTGGCCATTTTTGGGTGGATTGTTGAGTTAAGACGTCCTAAGGACTTATCCTTTCCGATTTAGGTTTATCATGGGCTCCTTAAGCATCAAGGTGCCAACTTTGTGGAGTATAGGGCCTCATGCATGCATTAAGTCACTTATGAAGTCCTAGTTAAGCTTAAGAGATAGATTTAGCTATGCATGGATGTAAAGTTAGCAACTTTACGTGGTAATCCAGCTCAAGGAAGTCAGATCTACATTCTGGAGCGAAGTCTTAATGGGTTAAGAGATGAAATTAGAAGGTGGATAAAACTGGAAGAGTACGCTAGGTGTACAAGCCTGTACGCGCAGCGTACAAGCCCTTTTGCCAGTACGCTTAGTTTACAAGCTGAGTACGCTCCACGTACTCAGTCAGGTGGCTTTGCGATTTTGGGCTTAGAGTTTGGGCCATGTTTTCGGCTTAGATGGTTGGGGTTTAGTTGGGCCATCTAAATTTGGGAGTTTTGGGCCAAGAACTTTATTGGGCCTTGGGTTAAGGCCCATGAGAAGGGATTGGGCCCAATTGGAAATTGGGCCATAATTGGGCCTTGGTGAATTATTTGAACTTTTGGGCCTTTTAGATTGTGAGATTGGGCCTTAGTCTTGGACCAATCTCGGTTAAGGGTAAAATGGTAATTTTACCCCAAGTATGAATTTATGGTTATGGATTGGAACTCGAATGTTAATTGGATTTTATTTGATATTTATAGCTCGGGCATTTGTCGGACCATCAGCCAGGGATTATCTGTTTGATTTAGTAGTGCGAGGTGAGTTTTTCTCACTGGGTTTAGCAGGTCAAAGACACCAATGTCGGCCCATGATTATGCTATGTTAGTATGTTATCTGTCTGTGTGACTCTTGCATGTGTTTTATGCTTATATGCTTACCGGGCAGGGCCCGATGACCATTTTGTATGCTATGTATCTTTGTGATTATTGCACGTGTATGTGTTTATTTGATATATGTTATATGTATGTTGGGTGATGCCCGATCTATTTACCGAGCGTGGCTCAATGCCAGGCGGGGGCCGATGTCGGACGGGGCCCGATAACGGATGGGGCCCATTATGTGCTATTATGTATGGTATGTGGTATTTTGGGGAACTCACTAACCTTTGTGCTTACGGTTTCAATTTATGTTTCAAGTACTTCTGGTTCCAAGGGGAAGAGCTCGGGTTGACTGTATTGCACACGCCACATGGATTCCGCTTTTGAGATATCACTCTAATTGCTATGATGTTGAGATACTTATATTTATTTGAGTTTTATGGATAATGTTTTTGGAATATTGTTTTATTCAAATTAAAAATGAAATTTTGGATCATATTTTTGGGACGTTTCAGCGCGAGGTGCTATTTCTGGGGCACCTTGTCAACCACAGTGGTATTCTGCTCGATCCGGCCAAGGTTGAGGCCGTGATGCAGTGGGAGATTCTGAGGTCTCCATCTGAGATTCATAGCTTTATTGGTTTGGTGGGTTATTATCGAAGAGTCATCCAGGATTTCTCCAAGATAGTTGTTCCTTTGACCCGATTGACAAAGAAGACGGTTTCATTTCATTGGGGGCCTGAGCAGCAGGCAGCTTTTGAGACTGTGAGGCAGCGGTTGTGTGAGGTGTCGATTCTGACCCTGCCATAGGGTGTTGATGATTTCGTGGTATATTGTGATGCATCGATCTATGGGTTGGGGCAGTATTGATGCAAAGGGGTCGCGTGATCGCTTACGCTAGCAATTGAAGCCTCATGAGGCGAATTATCCGACGCATGATTTGGAGTTAGGGGCGTGGTTTTTTCCCTCAAGATTTGGCGGCATTACCTCTATGGGGTCCGTTGTACTATTTACACGGATCACAAGAGCTTGAGGTACTTGATGGATCAGCCGAACCTGAATATGAGGCAGCGCCGATGGTTGGATGTGGTGAAGGGTTTTGATTGTGAGATCCTTTATCACTCGGGGAAGGCCAATGTGGTGGCTGACGCACTCAACCGCAAGGGGGTTGCGGCTCCAATTAGATATATATGTTTGAGGATGAGCGTGATTACTCCATTGTTAGAGCAGATTCATGAGGCTCGGGTCGAGGCTATGAAGGAGAGCACCGAAAGAGCGAGCGTATTGTGGGTCAGATGGCTTCCTTCGATTATGATAGTCGTGGATTGTTGACCTTGCCAGAGGGTGTTGATGATTTTGTGGTATATTTTGATTCATCGATCTCAAGTTTGGCGGCAGTATTGATGCAGAGGAGTAGCGTGATCGCTTACGCTTCGAGGCAGCTGAAGTCTCATGAGGCGAATTACCCGACGCATGATTTAGAGTTGGGGGCTGTGGTTTTCGCTCTCAAGATTTGGCATCATTACCTCTATGGGGTCTGTTGTACTATTTACACGGATCACAAGAGCTTGAGGTACTGGATAGATCAGCCGAACCTGAATGTGAGGAAGCGGCGATGGTTGGATGTGGTGAAGGATTTTTATTGCGAGATCCTTTATCACCCGGGGAAGGCCAATGTGGTGGCCGATGCTCTCAACCGCAAGGCGTTCGCGGCTCCGATTAGAGATATATGTTTGAGGATGACCGTGATTACTCCATTATTGGAGCAGATTCATGAGGCTCGGGTCGAGGCTATAAAGGAAGAGCACCGAAAGAGCGAGCGTATTGTGGGTCAGGTGGCTTCCTTCGATTATGATAGCCGTGGATTGTTGACCTTGCACCGACGAGTTTGGGTTCTGTATTGGCCAGTGTATGCCAGATTCTGATGGAGGAGGCCCACAAGTCTAGGTTCTCCATTCATCCCAGGGCGATAAAGATGTACATGGATCTTCTTCGTGACTATTGGTGGCCCTGCATGAAGTGGGATGTGGCCTGGTACGTAGAGCAGTGCTTGACTTGTATGAAAGTCAAGGTCGAGCATCAGCGTCCTCACGAAAAGATGCAGTCGTTGGATATTCCTGTATGGAAATGGGAGGATATCACTATGGACTTTATCACGAAGCTTCCCAAGACTCTGCGCGGAGTGGATTCGATTTGGGTCATCGTGGATTGTTTGACCAAGAGCACGCATTTCATTCCGATTCAGGAGAGTAGTTTTGTAGAGAAGTTGGTTGAGATTTATATCTGGGAGGTTGTGGCACGTCATGGGGTGCCGGTATTAGTGGTTTCCGATAGAGATGTTCGGTTCTCTTCCAGGTTTTGGAAGAGGTTCCATGAAGAGTTTGGTACTCGTCTCCATTTTAGCACAACTTTTCATCCACAGACAGATGGTCAAAGTGAGGGGACTATTCAGACCCTCGAGGATATGTTGTGGTCGTGTGTTCTGGATTT